GTTCAGTCCTGCCACCTCTGCAGCTGCCTCCGGGGTGTAGTAAGAGGCCTGCTGATCTCAGCATGGCTCCACTGCCAGCCTGCTTCTGCAGCCAGGTATTCTCCGCGAGAGTGTCTGAGGTCTATACAGTGAGGCATTTTCACGGAGTCAACCAATATCTGAGTGTCTACTCTGCAAGGTTCTGTGCTGGGTGCTGAGGGATCAAAAGGGAGATGGGTCACTGCATTACGGGCTTGTCCTACATTGAAAGAAAGAAGACCCATATGCATACTTGTGGTATAAGGTAGGGAATAATAAATGCCATAAGACAGGCAGAGAAGGCAAGGGAAAAGTGAGGAACACTTGTGGCTGAGCCAATCAAAGTCCAAAGAGAGGAGGAGAAGCTGGCATTGGGCCAGGTGGGCAAGGAGGCTTTAACAGCTGCACTGGGGACAGGTGGGGACAGTCTGGGTGAAAGGGCCTCAACCTGACCATTGCACAAGGTGCAGGTAGGGGAGAATAGATTCAGACAGATTATGGAATGCTGCCCAGGGGTGTTCAGTTCACCTTTAGAAAATTCTAGTGATAAAGTGTTGAAACAACTCCAGCTGAGGGGGAGGTGTCCTGGCTGGGAAGTCAAGGGTTGTTGATGTAGCTACTAACCTCATGTCCTCGCTAATTTGGAGGATTTCTGGTAAGGCAGAGGAAGTTTAGTGCCTGAAGAAGGCATTGATTGTGACAACACGAATGGATCTAGAGGGTATTTATGCTAAATGAAGTAAGTCAGACAGAGAAAGACAAATACCGTATGATTTCACTTATACGTAGAAGATAAAAACCAAAACAAAACAGAAACAGACTCATAGACACAGGAAACAAACTGGTGGTTACCAGAGTGGGGAGGGGTTGGGGGATAGGTGAAATAGGTTAAGGGGATTAACAGGGACAAACTTCCAGTTATAAAACAAGTGAGTACAGCATTGGGAATATAGTCATTAATATTGTAATAATTTTAGGGGCCGGCCTGATGGTGCAAGCAGTTAAGTGCGTGTGCTCTGCTGCGGCGGCCCGGGGTTCGGTGGTTTGGATCCCGGGTGCGCACCGACTCACCACTTGGTAAGCCATGCTATGGTGGCGTTCCATATAAAGTGGAGGAAGATGGGCACGGATGTTAGCCCAGGGCCAGTCTACCTCAGCAAAAAAAAAAAGAAAAAAGAAAAAAGAGGAGGATTGGCAGATGTTAGCACAGGGCTGATCTTCCTCACCAAAAAAAAAATAATATTGTAATAATTTTATATGGTGATAGATGGTAACTAGACTTATCGTGGTGATCATTTTGTAATATTTATAAATATCGTATTACTATGATGTACACCTGAAACTAATAGGATATTGTAAGTCAATTATACCTCTGAAAAAGAAGGCATTGAGAAGCTGGGATGTGTGTAGGCGTATGCATGCACGTGTGTGTGTTTAAAGCCCTGTTAAATTAGTCTAAATGCATGGCATCTGTTCAGTTGTGTAGGCGGTGTGTCCAGGACTGTGCTTAATTCCTAGGTGGGTCAGACCTTAGTTTCTAGGCCACTGTTCCACCCGATGACAAGGCAGCTTTGTGAGTCATCCGGCTGTTGCAATGCAGAAAGGTCCAGAACATGATCCAACTCCTGGCCTGATGCGTATCCTAGGTAGGCCTGGAATACCTTGGAAATAGCACCTAAGGAGAAAAGCCTGGAGCTGCGGGTCTCTGGGTAGCATGGGGTCGTGGGCAGTCAGAGCCTCTGAAACCTGGTAGGCATTATGGAGCCATGGAGCCCAGGCTGCTGCTTCCACCTGCGCCCATCTCCCGCCAGCCCGGGAAGGTGAAAGGCAGACCCGCTCCAGTAGCATGTTGTCCCCTGCTACTCCTTTTCCCATTATTCATTCCCGAGGTGGGAAATAGAGTCTTGGGATCCCCCAGGTGATCTACTAGGATCAGAGTGACTCAGTAGAAGTATCTCCAGGATTCCAGATGAATCTTTTCTGTGATTTTTTGAGCAAATATGGGTTTGACTCTGGGAGGGTGTGACTTCCTTTATTAAAATTTATATTCCTTGTGTTAATTCTAGAAAAGATAGGTACATGTGAATTTGCTGAGTCAGAATCTTGTGGCGTGGTTATTGTATTCAGATTTGGATACTGTAGAGGAGTCTTGGAACATCAGAGCCAAGTCCAGGGGAAAGGACTAGATGGTTTAGAGACCAGAATGTCATCACAAATAGCTGAAGAACCTGAGGATATTAGCTTGGAGAAGACAAATAGTGTTTTTCAGGGGACAACGGTGGTGGAATGAAAATTATCTTCAACTATTTAAAAGAAGAGAGAAATCAGACTTGTTTGTACGTGCAATGGTTACACGTAGCATCAAGGGCTCTAGAGCCTACAGGCTAGGAGATTTTGACTTTGTGTAAAGAATAATTATGTCTGTTTGAAATGAATGAACTGGTTTGGAAGATCTTCCCTTTTGGGGTTTGAGGTAATACGTCCAAGTTCCTTTCCTCTTTGAGAGTCTACAGTTATGACTCTGCTCCTCATGAAGCAAGTTTTCTGGTTAATTTCCATCTTGCTTGACTGTACTGGCAGCCTCTACTGGGGAGGACAGGTGGTCCTTGCTCAGTATTCAGGATAGAATGGGGAGGGGGTGGCAGGAGGAATATGGTGGCACACAGGTGCTGCCCTGCCATTCCTTTCCAAGGTGAGAGTCTGCAGGCTAGCAGAGTGGAACAGAATAATGAAAATAACGATAGCAGCAGCTGTTGCTCTTTCTGGGATTGAATGATTTGTTCATGGTCTCACAGCTAGTGAGCAACAGAGCTGGCATTTGAACCCAGGCAGGCAGGCTCCAGAGCCTGCACTCTTTATTCTGTGCTCTTCTGCCTGGCTGGCCTGAAGTTTAGTGCTCACAGGAGAATAAATGTAAGTGGCTCACAAAAGACATATATTTGTTTCGAGAACGCTGGTTCTTCACTGGAACTGGACATCAGAATCATCTGGGTATTTTTAAAACACAAATGTCAGGGACTCACTTTTCTTCCTGACACACACACACACACAAACTCTAATCAGGAAAAAGAGTGATGGTGTCTGACCCTAGGGTATGGTATGTGGCAGCCTGGGCATCTCCTGGTTTGCCCATGGCTTCCCTATTCAGGGTGGACTTTTGAGAGCAGGATGCCACGGAGCCAGGTCTGCCCTCTCAGAACAGCTCAGGAAACTGTTTCTCCTAGGCACTTGACATTCTTAGGACAAAGAAGCGATGGTTTACCACACAAAGTCACAAAGTGTTTGAGCTAGCCATAGATTATCCAGTCTAAATCATTTTATAGGCAGGTTGAGGGCAAGGGCCTCAACAAAGCCATTGAAAGTGGCAGAGCTGGGCCTGGAGGCCAGGCCCCCCAGCTTCTGGTGAGGTCTCTTCCTAAGAAAACCTTATTTTAGGAGTTCTAGGGTAGAATTAATTCTAGAATAATGGGGAATCACTATGGAAACAACAGAACGTGCCTCTCTATCTGGAAGTCTTCCCTTGAGCAAAATATGCTAAGTAAATGTGACCTGGTTCCATGTTTATGGTCTTTTCAGCTGTAGTAGAGAGACAGCTGGTGTCTGGTGATTTAGAGTGGTTGAAGGATGTGAAGAATAACCTGGAATGTAACACCCAGTCTTGTCACAAGATGAACACTTCTTTCCAGGCCCAGATTCCCTTGTGTGAAAGTGAGACTGTCTTATGTGGAAAATCTCATTGCCGGGTAATTATAAAGACTGTAAATCCTCTAACACCTTCTCTGTTTTTCTCTGTGCAGTTCTCCTGCATCGTTAGTGCTTTAGCCCAGTGCTCGGTACACAGGAGGCATTCGATTACTGTTTATTTAAATGGATTGATATTTAATACTCCCCATAGCCCCATAAGAGAAATTATTATTCCATTTTGTCATCAACCAAGGCATAGAGATGATAAATAACTAGCTCAAGGGCCAAAAAGCAAAAGGCAGGTCTCCTGGCATCTTGTTTAGTTTCTCCCCTTGCGACTCAGAATGAAGTCTGCCACCCAGCAGCACTGCTCACGTCACAGTCACCACTGGCCCAGACCTACTGACTCAGAATCTGCATGTTAGCAAGATCCCCAGGTGATCCTCAGGCACATAAAAGCGCAAGATGTGCCGGTCTACGTTGCATTTCCCAGTGGATTAACCCTTCTCTCTTTGGGATTGATGGAAACAATGTGTTTCCTGTCCTGACTATGCTCTTTTCCCTGGGATGAGTGGTGGGGAAGGGAGGAACTTGAAGATAAACAAATCTATGACTTTTGAATGTTCTTTGTTCTGTCATGACTTGTGAAAATAGTTCCCAGGAGAATCTGTAGAGGCCCCTAGGGCTTATTCAGTCGCTTGCTCTGGAGAGTGATCCCACAACCATCTCGGGCTAAGACTCACCCTGTCTGGAGGAGAGGGCGTCTGACCACTTCTCTTGAGAGCCTGGAGGCTGAGCTGGTCAGAGGGTGGGTGCTCCAGGCGGGCAGCATGTGACACTGACCAGGTGAGCCACTGTCACTGTCAAGGGCACTCTGTTTCCCAGGGAATTGAGAATGACTGTAGTAGTAGGGGAGGCACATGTGGGTCTTCTCTGAATCTGATCGTAGCAAGAGGAAATGACACACTTGTATCTTGGTGTCCAAAGTGAAACCAGCTGGGGCTACCAGAATGTGCAATGCTGTTGCTTTGCCGGAGCGCTGGAGTGAATTCCATAGGCTGGGGCCTGCTGCCCCACAGGTGTGTTCCTTCCTGACACACTGAGTAATGTCTGAGGTGTGGGCATCACACAATTAAGGTTTTCTCAAAACTGGAAATCCAGAGCATTCAAGTGATGCTCTGAGTCGTTTGCTGTGTGGAAAGAATGTGCTGGCACGAGCAGATTGCTGGTGAGTGTTCAACTAAAATTAAACTCAAGTGCTGACTTCTTGTTTTTACCTCCCCACCCCTTCCCTCAAGGTTGGCCTCCGACAGCTGGACATGTCCTTGCTCTGCCAGCTGTACAGCCTCTACGAGTCCATTCAGGAATATAAGGGAGCATGCCAGGCAGCATCCAGCCCAGACTGCACTTATGCTCTGGAGAATGGCTTCTTCGAGGAGGAGGAGGAATATTTCCAGGAGCAGAACTCCCTCCGTGATGGGCGAGAACGAGGCCCTCCGAGGGACCTGTCACTGCCCGTCTCCCCCCTCTCCAGCAGTGACTGGATTCTGGAGTCCATCTGAAGGATCTCAGGAGGGACGCGACTGTTACTGCTGGACACACTGTCAGCAGTGCTTCTTCTCTTGCAAGAAAGCTCGTCTGTCCTCCGCTGTGGGTGGTCCTTAGGCATGTGGGACCAGTGCTGCCAGTTTACTTTGTAGGCAGGGAGATGTCCATGGACACATGGTGGCAGTCTGTTTTGATGGCTAGAGTTTCTGCTTAGGTGATCTAGAAGTGCTCAGCAATGTCTTACACATCCTGGTACTGAGGCAGTCCTGCTGAGGATTCATAAGGAGAATATAACAAGACGATTTCTGGGGAAGACCTTTTTGGGTATTTCGTGCGAGACAACTTTGAGCTACTTCCTCCTTCCAGATGTAGATGATTTCATGCCCTCTTTGATGTAGGGTTTGCCTCCAGCTTGCGATGTATTACAGCTAATGTTTCTCTGCTCCCCTTCGTCAGTACATTCTGCAGTCTTTCTTGCTGTTTCATGAGCTTTTAAACCTCTTGGTTGAGCTTTGTTTGTTTGTAAACTGCATTACTAACTGTCCAGGTGACTCAGTGAAAGCTTGTTACTGAAAAAGTAAACATTTCAGGTCAGACCAATCAACTGCATTCTCTTAACCTGTCAAAAAAATTGATATTCTTTGTCCATCAGATATAGGAGGAAAGAAGATAATACAAAGATATATTGAGTGGGGGAAAAAAACCTGGGGCAAGCTGATGTTTTGTATCATTCACTGTAAGATGGCAATGTTTTTGTTTTTTAAGATTCTGAATGTACACTAGTATGTTAGAAAGCAAACCCCCTCCTCCACTCAAAACAGTAATCACCTTAAGCCTTAATATATTTATTAAAATACTTTATGAACACATTACACTTTGTAGGTTAAAAATGAGGATAAAATGCCAAACTCTCTGTAGTTGTGTATTATTTTGGTCTGAATTCGGAATCATCATCTTTCATAACTTGAATGCATTCAATCCACTCAAATACTGAAAGAAAATTACAGTTTTCTTGCCGTTAAGAATTTGAAAGCGGGGCCAGCCCTGTGGCGCAGGCGGTTAAGTGTGCGTGCTCCGCTGCAGCAGCCCGGGGTTCGCCGGCTCGGATCCTGGGCACGCACCGACGCACCACTTGTCAAGCCATGCTGTGGCGGCATCCCATATAAAGTGGGGGAAGATGGTCACGGGATCTTAGCCCAGCGCCAGTCTTCCTCAGCAAAAAAAAGGAGGATTGGCAAATGTTAGCACAGGGCTGATCTTCCTCACACACAAAAAAATTTGAAAGCAACTTTATTCCTCCATTGGCTTATTCTTTGAAGTGTTTTATCCACAGCAGATCGCCATGGACAGTTGGGTCTCAGTGCTGTTGGGTCTTTTAATACTTCAGACCCCTTGCTCCTCTTCTTGCTTTTGGTGTGATAGTTGCCTCTTTTGGGTCAAAGAGACGAAGTAAAACTCATCCTCATGAACCAGCATGTTAACAACCTGTTATGTACGTGACCTGGCGTCAGGAACTGGGGTGAGGTACAGAGAAGGAAGAGCATTCCTGCTTATTTCCTGTGTTGAAAGTAGTAGTTAAAATGAGGGGTGGCAGTAAATTGCCTTCAGCGTGTGACAATACTGTCGGTGGGGACAGGACAATGGAAAGTGATGAGACCAGGTGAAGTCTGGTAATCTACAGGATCCTGTTCCTTTGAGGCTGGGCCCCTGCTAAACAATGAGTTGAACCTTAGGTCAGCTGTTCTCAACCCTGACCACATTAGAATCACTTGGGGAGCTTTTAGAACAATAGTGAGTCTGGCCCAGGGCGCCCCCACCCTCATTCTGATTTAATGAGTAAGGAGTGTGGCCTGGGCATGGGTTAGAGCAGTCCCTCAGGTGATTGTAATACAGATCTGGTTGAGATCTAGTGTTCAAAATGTGGTCCATGGAGCAGGCGTCACTGGCAACATGGTAGAGATGCAGAATCTCATATCCCACCAGGACCTACTGAATCAGGCCCCACATCTTAACAAGATGCCGCCAGTGATGATTCTTTTGCACAAAGTTCAGGAAGCACTGCTTCATGTCAGCCCAATGCCAAAGGTGCTGCTCTGAGAGGCTGCAGCATCTCCTTGCAGCACTAAAGAAGAGCCTGGCCTGCCCCCAGCTCCAGGCAATGGTCAGGAGGCCCAGTCCTTTCAGAATGGGCCAAGGAGTGAAGCCTGCAGGGCTGGGTCAGGCTTGGGGGAGCCCGCTAGTTCAGAATGTGAGCTTCCTCTGGCTCTGCTGCCTCTGGGCTCTTCTGGAACTGCAATAATTCATAGTGCCTTTGAGTTTCTGGGCTCTTATCTCATTATTGCCGGATAGTCTGTCAGAGTTAGAAGTGGAATGAATCAAGGCAAGCAAGGGGCCTCTCCCTTACTATTGGGAAGGCTAACGCATTCCTCACTGCTGTGGTGAAGTGCCACATATACATAAATCACTGCAGTTTTTAATACTCCATTTGAAATATTTATAAATCACCCCAAACTTTCTCTTACTCCAATCGTGGTATACTGTTGGAACTACAACTTGGCAAGGAATATTAAAATTTCCCAAACGATAAAATGTTTTCTAATACACCCTCCTTACAAAAGTTTCACAGATTACTAGAAAATAAATTCAGCTAGTGTCCTTTATTGCTGCCTGGAGTAAATCATGACCTTGAAGTTCGAAGTGCAACTCTTGCTGCTTAGTGGCCAACAGAGCGCCTGGTAGGCGCTAAGACAGTCCAACCTCAGCAGATGAAAGCTGAAGAAACTGTGATCTATGTAAGGCAATGTGCATAGCAGTTAAATAAAAGCACTTTTTCTAAGGCGTATGTGCTGTGAACCCAGAATTGTTGATAATTTAAGTCTTGCATCACAAATGATGCAGTTCCTCTTATGTCCCTTATGTGTGGAATTCATAGTCAGTTAACCAAAACCAACCTGACTCCTTGCTTTCATTTATCTATAACCTAGAGTGATGTCATTCATTCAACTAACATTTATTTAGCACTTTTCTGGGTCATGTTGAGCCAGGCACTGAGAACACAAGATGAATAACATGACGAACCTCTGGCAGATACACAAATAGCCTAACATCTGAGGTTAAGTATTGCAATTGGGGAAGTACTGTGGGCCACTGAGGTCTAGAAGGAGTCTCAACAAATTCTTGGGGTTGGCTGAGATAGCATCTGAGCTGGTTTTGAAGGGTGCATAAGTTCAAGAGGGAAAGAATGAGAAGGCAGATGGAATGGCATAAAAAAAGTCTCCAAAAACTTTCATGTATAATGTTGTGTGCTTTCATAAAACATGTCATGTCTATAATTAACACACAGATTAAGTGATTTGCCTACGGTCTTGGCTAAATAACAGCAGAGCTGTTGTTCTCAGATGCAGTTTGCGCTCTGTCTATGTCTAAGGCACAAGCAGGTACTGGGATAACGTGAAATCTAAGGAGATTATCTGGTACAGCCCCTTAATCTTACATCACAGTGCTTTCTTATTTAATGATTTATTGTGTGGTGTTTTCTACTGGATCTTGGTCTGACTTCTACATGCACAGGCATAATTTCTTTCAGAGCCTGTGATTAGAAACAGGCCAAGGGTATGAGTGACAGAGAGGCTTGAGAGCAACCAGCATCACTTCACTGTAGGCGAGTTGGCAGTTCAATTTCATCTTTCTGCCCAAAGAGGACTTACTGATTATAAAGGCCCAAGCAAGTCCAGTCTTCTTGTCTTCATGAAAGATTGTACTTTCAGTTCAGAGAGATGTATCTGAGCCCATTCTATATGGAGGTGGTAGAGCTTATGTTGCAAAGATAACGTCTGGAGGTTACACCTGAAGAACACTGGACAACTGCTGGATCATAGTTTCGTGGATGAAAATGCTACAGGAGGGTCTGGGCCTCCCGACCACTAGTGTGGGCTTTGGAAAAAGTGTCAACAGCCTGCCTGATGCCTTTGTTCTAACGACTGTGATAAGACTGCATTACTTTTCCACCTCGCTTCTCTGGCCACAGGTCAACTGAGGACAGGTCCCTAGATACCCAGTTTCCTACCTGGTTCTCCTGACTCCCTGAAGAACTTGCACAAGCAAGCTTAGTATCTACAGAATGTTGAGCAAAACATTTATTAAATAACTACCAAATAAAATTAGCAAAATAAAAGCATGAAGCAATAGTCAGTAAGGAAGAGTTACAGCTCTCTAGAGGCAGGTGCCTGAGAGAGGAAAGGAGAGGGGCAGATGCCAACTGGAGAATTATGCATTGCCAACCCCAGGCAGAAGCTCCAAGACTCCCTCTCCCTGCTTCCCATCCTATCTCCAAGACAGAAGCTCTAAAGAAAGTCAGTGAGGAATGGAGTCCCAGGAACACTGAAAGTATTGTTATTGGGAGGGCTGATTTTGGTGGGCGGAGCACGTGCATTGGAAATAGACCTGGTTAAAGCCACAGTCAGCATATGGCCTGAGAGCACTTCCTAGTTCTTTTACGAGGATGCAGCCTAGGAGAAGGGAAGTTAGGACTTAGCTCAGCTCTGTTCTGGGACTTAGGGAAGAGAGCACTTCACTCTTCATTCTCTTTCTCCTGCCCTCAGGATGATAAGATGCCAGAGTGGGGCTCAGGGTGAAAGGGGAGACCATTTAAGATGGCCTCTAGAACATCAATTATGTTAGAGACAAGAATGCTCCTTTGAAACGCCCACATCCAACACAATGGTAAGAAAGCCATGGGGATTTGAGATTGAAGGGCAGGCTGTAATAGTGCTCATTTGTCTGGTGTGTCCCTGTGTGTAGCTGCCTCGGGGATCTAGATGGAGATAAGTTTGGAAAATGGGGAGGGCGCTTGCTCACCAGACTCAACTTGCAGTTACTATATATCACCAGCATGCCATAGCCAGCAATACTCTCCCCCGGGCACTGGTCCTCCATGTGTCTGATCCCCATTTGCCTTTCTGATAGAAATACTAGGGAAGACAAGTTCAGCTCAATTCCCCTGTAGTCACACGCCATGTGACTTCTCTTGACAAGCTTCTATCAGACATACCCTAAATGACTGTCTCATTGATCAGTAACCTAAATAGGCGCAGGCACCCTAACCAAAGCATTTCCACTGTGCTGGGACCCCGAATTGGAAGGTGCCCAATATAAAACCTGGAAGTTGAATTTATCCCCCTGCTGTGGAAGAAAGAACAGGAAGCAGGCCCCACAGGGCAGGAGACACACTCTAGCATAGTCACGTGCCTGGTCACACATTTATTTATTTTAAATGGATTGATATGATTTATATATCACCTTTGTTCCAAAAACTATTTAAGGCTGCTTTATAAAAATTCACACAATACGATAAAATTAAATTTTTTAAAAAGTGGGTTTAGAAATCTGCACAAAAGGAAGATAAGGGCAGAATAGACAAGATGAAGCCAGGTATAAAATCAGCACAAGGAGCACCTTCTGTGAGAAAGACAAGGAGTCCTATTTGCTTGCAGGACATACATGAGGCAGATTCTGACCCTGAATTCAAATGAAGGCCATAAATCAATGGTGAATGCTCCACTCTAGAGCAGGGTGTTTGCCTTGGTGTTTCCCAGCCAAATGGGTCCAAGCAAGGTGAGCTCTGGAAAAATGGGGAAGAATGAGAATGGCATTCTTTCAATGTTGCAAGGGAATCTTAAGAGTTACATGGAATCCA